CGAACAGGCAATGTTGCCAGCTATCTAAATGACCATTAAAGAGAGTTTGGAAATTGTACCATATTCCATACTAACAACCCATCACTTACCTTATTTGTGTCACAAATTGATGTATTCATGCATCAAAGGAGGAACTGGAGCCAGACAGTATAATATTAGGGGACTGAAAAAGAAAGAGCGGCTAGTTTTGAAATGCTTTGAAGACGTAAAGCAGCGTGTAAGTGCTAAGCATTGGTATTAAGAATTAGTTGTTTATGTACTAAAGGCTTTTGTTGAAATGTCATTGCTGGCTTTAAGGGTGAAGTTAGTGATGATACTAAACCATCGATTTTCAAAGCAGTTTGTCCTATTCCAGCTAGCTTGAGGAAAGTGGTGCAACAACCCTCTTGCAGAAAGTATCATCCGTGCCAAAGCATTGTGAATGTGCTGCCAGGATCATAGATCCAAAGATCCCAAGGCCAGAAGGGACCATTGTGATCATCTAGTCTGACCTCCTGCATAACAGGCCAGAGAACTTCCCCAAAATAGTTATTGAACAGAGCATATCTTTATAAAAACCATCCAGTCTTGATTTGAAGAATGCACCAGAACCCTTGGTAAATTGTTCCATTGATTAATTACCTTCACTGTTAAAAAATTGTGCCTTATTTCCAGTCTCCATTTGTCTAGCTTCAACTTCCAGCCACTGGATCTTGTTAAACTTTTGTTAGATTGAAAAGGCCATTATCAAATATTAGTTCCCCATGTAAGTACTTACAGACAATGATCAAGTCGTCCCTTAACCTTCTCTTTGTTATACTCAAGGATCTCAATCTGTTTAACTTATCACTATAAAGTGTGTTATCTAATCCTTTAATCATTCTCATTCCTCTTCTCTGAATCTTCTCCAATTTATCAAAATCCTTTTGGGACATATACGCGTAAAGGCGATGATCAAATTGCTGGATCCCTAAACCCTGATGGCAGGGCCATGTTTTAACTAAATAATGAACTTTCGTATAGTGCACAGCTTACGTGTTGGCTAAGTTGTTTAAATAATAAAAGTGAGTATAATTAATTTCAAAAAGGGCTTTTTCCCAACCTCCCTTTCTCTAGCTATAATGCCTAAAACAGCAAAACGGGCAGTGTTCAAAGTAAACAGAAAACCCACTCTGTCATCCAAATTCGTTACAGTATTTACTCTGGCAAAATAGTCTCATATCAATACAGTCTCCACTGATCACAAGCCTACAGAATGGCCTCCATGCAGGTTTCCAGAAGACATCTGCTGTGCAATGCAACAAGAACAGAGGTGTGGGAAGTTCGCTCTCCTGCTTGCATGCAAGTTGAGCAGCTCATGTCGAGTCATAACATGGCCCCTTCTTTGCAGGGATTCAGCCATGTGACTCTAATGGGAGCTCACGGACAAGAAGCCCTCTCTAAAATTTCATTTCTACCAGCTTGCCACCCACCACTACCCTCAACTTCCATTCAGTGATTAAAAAATAGGAGAAATGAACGCTGGAACCAACAAGAAGCTGCCTAACTTCAGCAATCCAAATGAGATGGTTTTTGTGTCTCCCTCAGCCCTTCAGGCTGTACGCGCTACTCTCTGATCAGTGTGGCTTTTCACCTCTCTCCCCCCAATCTCTGCAAGCCCTTCTCCACGCATAGGGGTCCCTCCCGGTCTGCTCTGACACTGATGATCAGCTGTGCTGTGGTGACAGGATGGGCAGGGATGATGTCCCTAGCCTCTGTTTGCCAGAAGCTGGGAATGGGCGACAGGGGATGGATCACTTGATGATTACCTGTTTTGTTCATTCCCCCTGGGGCACCTGGCACTGGCCACTGTCAGAAGACAGGGGACTGAGCTAGATGGACCTTTGGTCTGACCCAGTGTGGCCATTCTTATTAACATGGGACATCATGATAAAGAAAGCTGGTGATCCTCTGTACCAACAGTTAGCTTTATATTGTGAAGTGTAGTGGCTTTATTTAACCCCTTTGCTTTTACCATTTTCCCTGGGGTGGCTCATATTACGATTGCTATATTTAATCTTTATATTGTGTGGTGTACAGAACCACAAGTAGCTTTGGATGGGAGGAGATGGGGAGCACTTTATAAATAAAATGTACGTTCGTGACAGTGGATCCAACCACACTACGAAGAACCAGAGATAGAGCTGGACCTGAAGCAAGAAGTTGGTGTCCGGATCCAAATGTCCTTAGGGTTTTGGTTCTGTCCCGTCTCTACCAAACCCAAGTACAACATAATAAAAATCAAATCAGGCTAGAAGGAGTTGAGGAATCAGAGGGAGTGCACCAGGCAGGGACACGTGGTGAGGCTTCAGCTAGGAGTGTTTAAAATGGAACTGTCCTCGAGTCAAACCCTGGAAGGTACTGACTGTTCTGTGCTCCCGTAGAAGTCCGTAGCAGATAAAGGTGCTAAGCACCTGGCAGGATCAGTGCCCAAAAGAGCAGATCCTAATCGGCATTAACCAGAAGAGACGCAATGGTTACCGGTGCAGAGGAGATCCACCTGCAATGACAAGGCAGTCTGTTGGTGGGTACAGGTATTGGAGAGTGGCTACTGTGAGCAGAGGTACTTATGCTAGCTTTCTTTCCTCCTTGGGGAAGATCAATAAGAACAGAGTCTCCTTTATCTCACTGAAATAAGAGCAGCTGTGCACAAAAATTACATCACTTGGATTGAGAGTTCTGGGATGGGAAGAGGCCTGTTGGGCCCATTAGCTTCTGCTGCCAGCACAGGCTTCAGTGAGCTGACATGCTGGATAGCAGAGTACAGAGCAAGGCTACCTAGCGTACAAGTGGACGGAGAAAACTTGAAGGCTTTCTTTTGTTTACCATGTCATTTTCTGCTTTGTAATCTCTCCATTTGTCAGGTTAAACAGGGTAAGGAGCCAAAGGTCACAGGGTTGGTTTACCAGGAGCCCTAAAGTTATTAATGTTTCTGAACCTTCCAGTTTGAGATTTTCTTCACCAGCAGCTGCCTGTCATCCTGCTCTCGGAGATAAAGGCCATGTTGTTTCAGGCCTAATGTGATGCCGATGATAGATCAAAGGAGCCAACATTTCAGTCACTTTCCAAAACCTACTTCAAAAAGAAAAGATTACACCTAACTGGAGTGTGGGGGGAGGGAGAACAGGACTTCTTCGGGGGGGAGGGGGGGCTTCCCAGCAGCAGTTAAAGTGACCTGCAAAGTGGGGATATTCTTTAATAGCCTTCATATCCCTCTAGTATACTGCAAACACCCACTTAAAAATAAATCCCAAAGCATTCTGACACCATTAAAGTGAATGGGCTTCATCAATGTTATGAGTTATAATGGGGTTGTATTAATTATAAGTGGGTCTGGTTCAGGAAAAATATATGGGCCAGATTTTTCAAGGTAAGCATTGTGTGTGTGTATAATGACCCCTCCAATCCCATCATAGATAATCAGCAAGGTTTGAACAGGGGACCTACAGCACCAAAGATCTCTATCACTTGAACTAAAGGATAGAGAACAGCCAGTTAGCAGTAATAGGCTGTTCTCTTCTAGCAGGCCAGCCACTGCAGGTGGGTGCACCACGCACTTTTCCAGTGTGTTACATATATACCCTCTTATGCTTGCAAATCAGGTCTGTGTGTGTGAAAAGACCTGACTTGCACAAGCATATCAGATATTAGTACAGGTAAGTTTAGGCACACCCAATTCTGTGTATGCGGTTTGTTCATGGCCAGCTTTGAAAATCGGGCCCTATCACTCTGTTTCTTGACCCATACAAAGTCCGTTGTTTTAGAAACAAATGTACTTCTGTTCAGCACAGACCTGTCATCGATCGCTTGGGTGCAAGTTTAGGTAAAATGCGGATATTGGGAATAATGGAGAACTGCATGCACTGCAAATAAAAGAGCAGATATTGAAAGGCTGCTGCAGTGTGGAGGCTGGATGTCTCTTTAATGAGCGGGTTAAAGAAATGGAAAGATTTCGGCAGCTCTGTTGGAGCAATAGAGGCAGCACATGTTCCCTCATTGCCCCTCTGTCTATGAGGGACAATCCCCATTGTCCCTCATAGTGGAGGGTGGGGATTGTTGGGAATCCCAGCTCTGTTGAGGGTGGGTAGCTGGGTGGAGGGACTCTAGCTTCCCCACTCTCCTGGACTCCTCCTTTTCCCACCATGGCACAATCAGCAGCTGTTCTGTCAATTCCTGTCACCTGCTGTGCTCCCTGGCTCTGCAGAGTACACAAAGGATAGGTAATATTGCCTCCAGCAATGTTAACTCTCCACAGCTTCTCCTCAGATCGCAGTCTTGGGCAGGGGGAAGCATTTCTGCTTAGCCACGGTCTCCCTTTCACCTGCAGCTTTCTCAGGAGGTTTACTCTACCTTGCTTTATTTGGGCGTGGAAAGGAAGCATTGACCCCAACAGGAGGAGAACCAGTTCTAGGGAGATTCTCCTAACCACCTGTGGAAATGCACAGTGCTGGCATGTTGTCACTTGTATGACATGATTGCATGAAAAACAAGGACAGTAGAAAGCATTGGGGAAAAAATCTGTTTTTATTTATATTAATACTTATCCAGATATTAAGAAGCTTCACAAAACATAATACCTATAGTATAAATATATACACACACACACACACACGGCACTATTGAAGGGGTGGGCATGGGTTCCAAGGAGTGCTAAATACCCACTGGAGGTAATCAGCACCCTTACCAATTAGGTGCTGAAGTGCGAGGGTACTCGGTCCAGGCAAGAGGGTGCTAGCCTGGGATTCAGGAGACTTGAATTAAATTCCCTGCTCTTCCACAGACTCCCGATGTGACACTAGACAAGTCTCTTAATCTGTGTCTGCCTCACCTGTACAGTGGTGATAACAGCACTTCTCTACCTCACAGGGGGTGTTGTGAGGGTAAAGATTGTGAGGTGCTCGGATGCTGTGGCGCTGGGGGCCTTGGATTTTCCCCCTGCTTCAGAGCATTGTGCAAATTAATTTTTGAACTTTGTTTTTCAGCTCCACGGAGGTTGACGACATGATTCGAAAATCAACCAACTTGCTGCTGACTCGAATGCTGAGCAATTGTTTGCAGACTGTTATTAAGAGGAGAAACACAGGGTTGACAGAGGTAAGGAGTTCAGTTCCCCGAGAAAAACCCGTCATGGCAGGAGACTGCGTCCCATCATCTAATGTTTGTGGTTCCATTTCAGCTTTCTAGGACACGTCTTTAAAACACAGCAATGGGACCATTATCGTAACGTTAGGTTCTCTAAGAACAATGGGGAGCTGCTTAGCATTGCTGTAATAATTAGTAAGTGCTTTATGGTCAGAGAGGAATTTCTCTGCTGCTTTCTCAGTTGTCATTGTCTATCATTTTATGGCCTGTATTCCTTGAATATTTCTAAGTCTAGAACACATTTATATGCTGGCTATTACATTCCTTGTTACGGGAATGAAAAATGTAAATAAGGTAAAACAAATGACTATTATTTGTATTACAGCCGCAAGTCAGAATGCCAGTGAGTGAATTGGGCAGCATTGCTCTAAATGTCAGACAAACATGGAGTATAAAAGGCGGTCTCTTTCCCCCTAGAGCGCGTTTCTTTCCAGATATTTAGAAATAACTTCCCAAACTAGAGGAAAGCTGAGGTTTATGGCAGTTACAAAATGTTTGCGAGCCAGCGATTTTATGCTCGTGTACACGTGATTAGTGTTTGACTTTTCTATAAATGTGCGTCAACTCCAATATTAAATCAGTTTAATGTGAGTAGATGATAAACTAATTGAGACACGTACAAGTCTTTGGACTGTGCCTAGGCTAATGAATCCTAGTACGGCCTCCAAGGACTATTAAATAAAATAGAGCTGTATTTAACTGATGTAACTGTATGTGAATTGTGACATGAGACCTGACTAACACTCATTTACTCTAAGAAATCCACGGCTGACTTTGCTGTGAAAACCTTTCTTGTGTTTTGGGAACAATTATACATCCAAGATGGGGATGCATCTAGGGGAATTTCATCACATCAGAACTGGTTTATCCCTGTATGTGCGCTCAGTTTTACAACTGGGATTCACCCTTGCCTTGCTGCCCTCCAGCACAGGGGAGCGTCTCTGATCTTTGGGGGCATTTTCCTCCTCTCCTACCCCCCAGGGTGTCCTTGGGAATGAGGAATGTAGAGCTATGCCCTACCCTATGCAGCGGAAAAAATCATCCTCTGTTGCGAGTATATTTTTAAACAATAGCAATTTGATTCACGTGACTTTGTGAACAGCGCTTAATAGCTGACTGGTTAACTTACCACGGGAGTCCCTCCAGGCTGCTTACCCCCCGCTTAGAGACGAGCTTGACATATGGTGTGTGTTCCACTCTGAGGCATAGGAAAGGTGATGCCAGGAGAAGAAAATAATGGGGTTGAGAGAGTGCTGTGGTGGAGGGTTTGTTCAGCTGCCTTGGCACTGCATCTCTGGAAGCTGAAGTGGGATTCCACAGGAAATGCCTACAGGTCACGACAGTTCAGACTTAATGACTCCAATTTAAAATAAAGGTCTAATTTGGCAGGAGCTGCCTGCCTACGGTGTTTTGCTTTGGCACTTTTTTCATATTAAGGCTGGCGTCACCCTCCTGCTCCATACCACTTATCAACATACAGTTTGGGTAGCAAATTTCCCCTTTTTTCTACTTTGGTCTAAATGGGTAACTCCCCCCGCCCCATTCTAGTCTGGATAAAGGAGGAAAAGACATTAGCTCTGTCTCAAAACTATTTCTCTGTTCTTCACCCTGACGCTCATTCTTATGTAGGACAAATATTGGCCGGTGTTTATAAAATGATAGTGCATTGTATTTTTCATCTGGGGATCTCAGAGCCTTTATGCTGTTTCTCAAAATGTGTCTGAGGGACACACAGATTGAGTAAAATTTCCAAAACCTCCCAGGTCACTTAGGAGCCAAGTCCCATTTTCAAAAGTAACTTAGGCACTTAGCTGAAGTGCAGCTTCTAAGAGTAAATCTCTAGTTCCTTCCATAAGACAGCCCCCTCCTCTCCTATTAATACCCACCACTGCATCATCTTCCAGACAGGTTTCCTTGAAGGATGAGGACTGATGAGGTCAGATATAGTGTTTGCTTTGTGAAAAGTGTTCAACCACAGGTGATAGGGCGTTTTGTGCACTGGTTGAGGTACACCGTGTGTTGTGATAGGAATGTGTAGAATCCATGGATCTTTAAAGGTGAGTTGTGGGGGAGTGTTGATCATTGAAGCAGTGGTGATATGTCTGCTGGTTTTGCATCTGTTCTGGCAGTGTCTGGTGCTGCTTTGAGTTGGCGTATCCTGGTCTGTGGGGAGCTTGCTTCTGATGGTGAACTTGGAGAAGTTGGTGGGTTGTTTGAAGGCCAGAAGAGATCCAGGAAAGATTTCTTTCAGGATGTGGTCCCTATCGAGAGTGGGTTGTAATTGTTTAATGATACCCCATATGGGTTCCAGTGGGAGGTGGTAGGTGACAACTAGAGGTGTGCAGTCAGAAGGGGTTATATTTCCATATTAAAGCAGGTTCTCTCGGGCTATTTGGGTCATCCCTCACTTCTGTCCATAGAATGTATAGGGGCTCTTCTTGATTCCAAGCTGGAGGCATATCTCCGTCTAGACAGGTTTCAGTTCATCACATCCCTAATATCCAACCTCGGGGGAAACCCTACCACAGCAGCAAGAATCTCTGAGAGACAAGGTGAATGAGGTAATATCTTTTATTGGGCCAACTTGTGTTGGTGAAAGAGAGACGCTTTCGAGCTTACACAGAGACCTACAGTGCAAACATCAAACTATTAGGTCACATGGCATCCTGCACTTTTGCCAGACTTTGCCTCTGCCTTCTCAGGAGCTGCCTGAGGTCTGTTTTCCAATCAAGCAAACGTCATAAGCATACTTATCTCGTGGTACGGACTACTCTACTAGCTTTTCTGGACTGTTGGACAAGGCCCCAAGATTGTCTGCAAAGAAATATTCTGCATTCCTCCCACAGTGACCCTGATTACAGATGTCTCTATAGCAGATTGGGGGATCCAGCTAAAACACCTAGATTCAAAGCAGATAGTTCTGGAAAGAGTCCCCCTCCCCCCACATATGGTTGAGATGAATGGCTCAGGGTCCCCGTCTGGAATTCTGGGTGATTTGAACTAGCCTGTGGAGCGTTTCTACTGCTTCGGAAAGGAACCATAGTGGTGCAGATCCTGACAGACAACCCCACCACAATGTTTTATATTAACAGGCAAGGGGGGTGCCCTTTCAATTCCCTCTGTCAACCAATCAAGCCATCTTCATGGGAAAACTTCCATGGCTCTTCACCTACTGGGAACAAACAACAATTTGGCGTGTTACCACAGCAGGCAGTACTCAGCCATTCATCTCAACCATTCATGAGGACTCAGTCACTGAAAGACTCCATGCTCAAACCTATATTCCACAGATGGGGCTCTCCCAGAACTTATCTGTTCGCCCCCACCAAGAACAAATGTCCACTATTCTGTTCCAGAGCAGGCCCCAGCGCAAGCTTCTTCCAGGATGCCTTCCGAACGAACCCCTTAGTCACAACCTTCTCTGTGCCTTTGCTCCCATTTCCTTGATACCCAGGATCATAAGGAAAATCAGGTAGGATCTGGCCACAGTAGTACTCAGAGCCCCTTATTGGTCCAGATAGTATTGGTTCACAGACCTACTGCATCTGTCCACATAGCTATTGAGATCTCTCACCGATGTCCTAGATGTACACGCTCAGAATCAAGGACAAATTATCCATCCAAACCCAACATCTTTACATCCAATGGGTTGGAGGTTTGCTGACTGAGCACTACAGACAGCGATTGCTCTGTAGAGGTCCAAGAAAATTCTAATGTAGAGCAGGAAGCCCTCTTGAGACAAGATCAATCTACAGTTCAAAGTGGAAAGGTTTTTCCATCTGGGCTTCATGACATGGTCTCATCCTTTTAAATCCTATTCCCAGGATTTTGGACTACATCTTTTTAAGCTATCAGGCCTCACCATTAATTCTGTCAGGGTCCACGTAGATACAATTCCTCTGGTTTGAGAGTCCACTTCTGCCTGGGACTTTAATGTAGTTCTTATGGGCCTCATGGAACTCCCCAGTGAACTCTTATCCAAGTACTCTCTACAGCATTTCATTCTCAAAACCACTTTCATGATGGCTGTCCCCTCAGCCAGAAGAGGTAGCGAGATTTAAACATCTTATAGACTTTCAGGCCAGAAGGGACCATCATGATCATCTAGTCTGACCTCCTGCACATCGCAGCCCACAAAGCCTCACCACCCACTCCTGTAATAGTCCCATAACCTCTGGCTGAGTTACTGAAGCCCTCAGATCATGGTTTAAAGACTTCAATTTACAGAGATTTCACCATTTACCCTAGTTTAAACCTTCAAATGAACTGTGCCCCATGCTGCAGAGGAAGCATCAGTAGCAGATACCCCTTCTACTCTTTTCCATAGAGATAATATGCGGAGTCATCATCAGAACTTTCTTACCAAAGTGGTGTCTGATTTTCATTTAAAGCAAACCACCAGCTTCGCTGTTTTCTTTCCCCAAACCACATTCACACCTGCGAAAAATCAAGCTCCATACTTCAGATGTTTCCAGAGCCCTCCTTTATCAGTTAGACAGGACCAAGCCATTCAGGAAATTATCCCATTTATTTGTGGCATTGGAGAAGGCTGTGAAAGGTCAGGCCACCTCTTCCCAGATATTATCCAAGTGGATCACTCGGTGCATCATAATTCGTTACCAACTGACAGATATGCCCCTCTCCTCAGGCAGCATCAGGACCCACTCAGCTAGAGGCCATACAATCTCCTCTATGTGCCTAATAAATGTTCCGTATCAGAGTTCTGCAGGGCTCACATACAACTTAGTCCACACCTTTACCAAGCATTATGCCCTGGATTTAGCAACTAGATCAGATGCTAAATTCAAGAGAGCAGTTCTGCAGTCCTTATTTAGTTAGCTGCGGTAAGCCTCCTCAGACCTGTGTCCTGTTAATCTAGGAACAGCTAACTAGTTGTCGTAAGTAGGATCCACATGGACAAAAAAGACTCAAAAAAGAAAGGTCATTTACATAATGGTAACTGTAGGTCTCCAAGGTGTTTCACCCAGGTGGATTCCACAGCCACTCTCCATCCCATCGCCTTCATCATCCAGCTCTCTGGGATTTTGAATTCGCAATGAATCTGAGAGATGGTCAGGGCCACTCTACTTACATGCCCTTGGGTGAGGGGGCACGAGGACATGCAGGACACAATCACAGCCCCAGTGGACAGTGCTAGTGAAAAGATTCCGGTCTTGCACGCCTGAAGTGCATGTGCACCATAAGAGGGATCCACACAGACAAAATATCTCAAAGGACCACAGTTAATGTAAGGTAAGTAGCAGGTCAGTTTATAGAAGTGGTTTTTGTAGGAACGTGGTGGAGGCCTGTGGGACGGAGCCTGGTAAATTGAGATGTCTCATCACTTTGATATACCGTATAAATACTAACCAGACTGCATTGGAGACAATGAACCCCCCCCCTTGTTGATTGTGCATCACCAATTAAAACCAGGTGTGCTTTGATCTCCCACCAAGAGACAAAGGGCCATGGGGCAGCCATTAGCAGTAAAGAGCGGGATTAAGCAAATGCATAGCAGGGAGACAAGGGATTACAAGAGGGGGAGAAAAGAGCTATCATTTGTTTAATTTGGACAACCAGATTTGAAAAGCCTCACCACTACAGATTCAAGGAAGAAAGGAATTGACTATCAAGGAACCAGTGTGTGTGGAAACTAGAGCGTAAGCTTGCCACTTCATAAGCACTCGAGGCAAGAGAGACAGGGAACATTCTGCATGTCTGGAAGCAGATGAGGATGGGCAGATTGTGATTACCAGAGGGAAGAGGACTATGAGGAACTCTGCATAGCTAGAAGAATCCAATCATTAGAAGGTCCTCCATGTGGAATCTGCAGAAAATATCTCTGAAGATCCAGCTGGCTGAATGGAATGGAAAGCAGACTGGATGTACATGAGGATGGCTGCTCAGCCCAACCCACAAGACAATCAAACTTGCCCACAAAGAGATCTCCAACCATCCAGTGAGGACAGACAATCCTTGTTTGGGATTCTGTACTATGAAAGAATAGAATGTTTTCTGCAAGCCCCAGATGGACAATGGGATGGTGTGCGGTCTTCCAGGAGCCAAGATGTGAGATGTGACTAAAATTGGGTAAGCTTCTGAAGACGATGGGCAAGGACCCACTGGCGATGGTGAATATTGGCACTAATGACACTACATGGCAGGATACCTCACAGATAGTAGATGACTTCCAAGAACTCAGAAGGATGCGGAAGGAGAAGACTGTCCAAGAGCTCTTCTCTGAGATCCTTCCTGTCCCGTAGACAAAGGAAGACACAAGGCAGAAGATTCTGGATGTGAACTGCTGGCTAGGTAAGAGGTATAAAATTAGAGGGGTCTGATTTTGTGGAACATTGGTCCACTTTTCTATCAGGAGAATGAGTTATACAGTTTGGATGCCCTCTTCCATCTCCGTAAAAGGGGAATCGATCTTCTAGGGCGCAGGCTGGCTAGACTAATCAAGAGGGTGTTAAAGTAACAACAAAATGGGAAGATAAAAAGGGGGAACAAACTGGAACTCACTTGGAATAAAATCAAGTTAATGAGACTAAAATTAGTTAAGTCATCAAGGGACGTGATGAGAAGTTATTTACTTGCCTATACACCAATGCTTGAAGCCTGGGTAATAAACAAGAGGAATTGAAATTGCTCATTTTTGCACATCTGTTCAGCCTAGTTGGTATTACTGAAACTTGGTGTGAAGGTTTGTGTGATTTGAATTGTAAAAATCAATTATTATAACCTAATTAAGAAGTATTGTGTGAGCAAAGGGAGAGAGGGAGTAGCACCCTGTCAGGTATGACTTTGCCTATTTCTGAATCATTGGCGCTTGAAAGGAAATGATCTTGAATACTTATAGGTCAATGTTCTAAATTTAGTAAAGCGCGCACACTCTCTCCTGGTATCCTAAGTCCACTTCCTTTTGTCTCTAATATGTCACTTTGGAATTCTAATATTCCAGCAAAATAGCACAAATGTCCCAGAAGATATTTTAATGTGACATCAGGGTTAAATGGCAAGTTCTTGGAACCTTTCCATTATTGCTTATATCGCATCTGAAATATGTGAGGCAATTTGCAAGAAGACCGGGCTCCTGCCTGAGAAGTGAATGTGAATAAGGAACTGAATAAGTTATTTGCGAAGTTAAATAATTATCTGTGAATGAATCAGAGGCAAAAGCAAGGTCATTTTGCCCTAAACTTGCAATGCTTGAGCTGCATAAACTTCAGCTGGTCTTTTGCCAAGGCATTTTATCAGTTCATAGTTATCACCAAACCATCTGTGGCTTCATTTCTAAATGCCACTGTGTGATTTTTGTGAGCTATCGCTCAAGAATACAGGGTATTTAGGGTTTATTAACAGATCCCATGTCAGACCAGAAATATGTTATCTTCTGTAACCCTTTGTATTTTAATAGTATTTGAACGGTACTAAAATGAACAATGAGTTTATAAAATTCATTATAGTCTTTCGTGGTATTAGCAAAAGTCATGCTAAATTACTTTCTCAAGTGTGAGCTTTTATTTAAATTTCATATGTTAAAACAGGACAATATTTTTTTAGCCTTTAGCGGGGTACAGTATGTTTGTGCAGTGTCAGCATGACTACAGGTCACCCTGGTTATGGCATCCATTAATCCGACATACCCCTTACTTTAAAAACACAAGCCACACCTGACACATCTCCTTGCCTTCCCAGCTTGTGCAGATTATTATAAATACGACCCATTTGGAGAAATCCTGCAAGTTCCTAGAAGAATTCATAACCAATATCACCAATGTACTCCCGGAGACTGTCCATACTACCAAACTCTATGGCACTACCACCTTCAAGGTGAGAAAATCATAGTAACCTGGGGTGTTTTGTGGATTATGTCTGACTGTAGATACACCATTTGTGAGTTGTGCATGCTCCACAAATAATCTTGTACTGTGAAATGTATTTGGAAACGTCCACACTAATCTTTTTAATCATTTTATAAAATCTGTGCAATCCTTTCAATATGTGTTGGTTTTCAAATTATTTGAATACTGCTTTCTTTAAAAGCAAAAAAGCCCGTCGTCAGCAATTTAGTATTTATCATCAACCGTACAGTAACAAAGCAGCAAGGAAAACAATAACAAATGAGTCACTTCCAGATTAGTCACCTATATAACGTTCCAAAAGGTAGGCTGGAGTTTTTCCTCACTTTGTGTACCCAGTGCATGTGACCTACACAAATTCCTTTTTGCCGTAGCATTCTAAAGCTGCCAAACTAAATCATCAACAAGTGTTTGCCACTATTAAGGCATTTTATCAGCCCCTAGCGAACAGTCCCTCATACAAGCAAATGGTAGGACGTATACTACCTCACCAAAAATACATGGATGGGTTAACTTTTGAGAACACAAATTACAGATAAGTGACTTTTTCCCAAAGAGCAAAGCTACCCAGGCCCGGGCTTTCTCTGTGAAATGGTGAACTAATATTAATCGGGTAGTAGTACAGGGAAGACAACATGCAGGATGCTGGAAAAACAACATTGCCGTTTTTTCATTCATACTGGAAAGCAGCAGCGGTCTGGAGGACACTGCTGGGTTTGGCTTTCCTACAGTATGTCAGCCATGGATGCAGCTGAGTTAATTTGACCATGTCCACCGAATTTCAAGCCAACATTCTCTTAGATCCCAGCTTTCTGCATTTATTCTTGAGAGCAGTTGTTTGCTTGACGGCTCTCTTGGCCATCAGTTTACACAATTGTAATTTTTAGGCTATAAGACGACTGTAACCATAATAGAAATCATAGAAATGTCAGGCTGAAAGAGACCCTGGGAAGTCATTGAGTCCAGCCCCCTCCGCTGAGGCAGGACCAAATAAACTTCAACCGTCCCTGACAGGTGTTTTTCCAACCTGTTCTTAAAAACCTCCAATGATGGGGATTCCATAACCTCCCTTGGAAGCCTGTTCCAGAGCTGAACTTTTAACCAGGTCTCATCCAGACCAACATTCAATATAAATAACCTAGGTATAACTACTGAGCATAGGTTCTGCTAATGCATTTCTCTACATGGCTGTCCCAGAATAATATTTCCTTGTGGATAGAAACCTCTTGCTAGATGCAGGTAATAACTGGAAGGACTATGTGGTGTATTCAGAAATTACTATTTTTCTGTGCACTTAAGAGGCTGAAATCAAGCCCACATTCCTGCTTTGACTTGCAAGTAAATAGCATTGTTACCCAGTTAGAAAAGGGAACAGAGCCACTAATGGGAGAATGCAAAAACATTATCAGCTAGACAGGTAGAAAAAAGGAAGATCTACACAGCAAGTAGGACAAAAAAGGGAAGCCAATGAAGAACAAACCATGAATGTGACACCACATCTTGTTACCTTACTAATGTAGAGTGAGTTGAACCGGTGCACAGTACTGCATGCTCTGTACACTAAGTGGGCCAATTTCATTCCCATCCCATTTTAAGGAGTCTTCTCTTGTTTCCCAGGATGCCCGCCATGCTGCAGAGGAAGAGATTTACACTAATCTGAACCAGAAGATAGACCAGTTTTTGCAGCTGGCAGATTATGACTGGATGGCCGCTGAACCGGGCAGCAAAGCCAGCGATTACCTGGTAGATCTCATTGCTTTCCTGCGCAGCACCTTTGCTGTGTTCACACACCTACCTGTAAGTGACAGTGGTCTCTTTCTTTGATAACTGGGAGTGCCTGGGGGTTCTGATGCCACTGTAGAACTTTACCTCTAAAGTGTAGTGGAAATGATGCATTGTGCTGTTGTCATGAACAGAACTGATTTTTCAAATAAGGCATTTCAAGTGTTATCAAGTCAGGCTCCCTCAGGGAGCTCCCAAAACCGCTCCTTAAAGCCTGAGAGAAACATACAGAGCTGTTGATTTAAAAAATACGGTAAAGTGCCACCAGACTTCTTGTTGTTTTTGTAGATACAGACTAACACGGCTACCCCCTGATATTTGGGCGCATAGTTTGTTAAATTTCATCAGCTGTGATATAGACTAAAAAGGCCGACTCTTAAGCATTTGTAGTTCTCTCTGTCTTAGCTTCATCCTGCTTGTTCATCTCTCTGACTGATCTACTACAAAGGTTTTAGACCACTCGTCAGTGTCATTTAGCCAATATTAAAGCCAAAGCCTTAGTGGTACCTTTTTGAAATCCTCCGCCTACGGCATCTTGGATCCCATAAGGGTCCTTGTTGTGGTGTCTAGAAGATTTGACAGCTGGAAAGGAATTAGTTCTGATTCCTAGGGATGGAGAAACAGCCAGAGGCATGGTGAGAAGGATTTGTTCCAGTTAATCAGATTTGAAGACACCACTGTGAATGAGGTGAGATGGGGGAATGTTAAGCATCGCAACTAACTTTTGGGGGAGAGATTGGGCTATGGTGGAGAGAGATTGGAGCGTTTTCACCCATCTCTTCCGTTTGTTTTTGTAGGAATCCAAATGAATATTTATTTGGGAAATTAAATACTTAAGTGCCCACAAAATCATTGCAACATACCCCTTCCCCTTCAACCCTTTCACACACGCCTCCTCCAGTAAGGAGAGAAACTCCCTCTTTGTTCATCCTCAGCTTCTGTGTTGTCTTGCTGTAGACCTGATTGACAGGATATCTTTTCACCGAAGCATTAAGCATGGCTAACGTGGGGCTGTGAAGAAGGAAAGACATGCCCACAGTGATTTATGAGATGGACCTGGAGTGATTTATCTTCCTTAAAACATTGTTTCCTTTTCAAATTAATCAAAATTGTTTTGGGAATAGGGAGGGCATCTGCTTACTCCAAAAAAAGATTGAGGAGGGTAGAAGCAACCTCTCTATCAAGCTAAGATATGTAAAACTACCCAACTGCTTAAAAAGTCACTCTGCCTTTCCTAATAGTAAGGATGCCAGGTAACAAGTTAACAACACTGAGCCAGCACATATGTAGCACCTTATCCTCAAAGCATCATACAAAAACGAATCCTCACAACCGCCCTATGGAAGTATGGGAGATAGTTAATCAGATCTAAAAGTGTGATTTGTAATGCTGCAGATCTAGCTTAAATAGTTTGTAGGGGGAGGTGGGTGTGGAATTTTTAATATTTCAAAGCTATGTTCTTTACAAGAACAGTGTGAATGTGCCCTCATTCTAAGTTGTTCGAGGGTTCCTCTGTGACTTGTAGCCTATGTTAAAGTCAGGGAGAATTGTGACATTGTATACATCCTGGTTTGTTTTTTAAATCCTTAAATACACTTAGGTCTCTTTTCTCTCCCATTCTTGTTGGGGTTTCCTGGTTGATCCCATAATTTTGCTTTGTTTCTAAGTGTATTTTTTATTGTTTTCAAATAAAACGTCAACCCTTATGTACGAAAGAAATCCCAAGTCTAACAATATAAAAGCAGTACGTAGAAGCAATACAAAAGCAGTATGTACTTTGTAGAAGAATATGGATGAAAGAGAAAACACCTAAATAAAAAAGATGAATTATAGGTATATATGAGAGTATTGCTAAAGGAATAATAGAGCCTTTCACCTCTAGCTTGTTGGTTTGAATCCAGCCCAAGTCATTAATGACCGAGTATTACTACCATGGGATCAGGGCCGGCTCCAGCATTTTTGCCGCCCCAAGCGGCGTAAAAAAACAAACAAAAAAGCCGCGATCGGCGGCGCTTCGGTGGCAGCTCTACCACCGCCGCTTCATTCTTCGGTGGCAATTTGGCGGTAGGTCCTTCCCTCTGAGAGGGACTGAGGGACCCGCCGCCGAATTGCTGCCGAAGAGCCGGATGTGCCACCCCTTTCCGTTGGCCGCCCGAAGCACCTGCTTACTGCGCTGGCGCCTGGAGCCGGCCCTACATGGGATGAGTGTTGGTGCATTGTGTGAAGAGAGTTTGCAGTCTCGATTTCCCCTCTTCCCCCCAAATTACCACCATGACTGCAACACTTTTAGCTGTTTAATAAAAGGTAAAAGATTGAGTGGTCCATGGAGAGTGAACTATCCTCTTACTGCTAGAAATGGCCCTGCAAAACAGGGTTGAGACTCATAGACTCATAGACTTTAAGGTCAGAAGGGACCAATATGGTCATCTAGTCTGACCTCCTGCATGATGCAGGCCACAAAAGCTGACCCCCCTACTTTCCCTTAACTCTGCTGTTGAAGTCTCTTGATCGTGATCTAAAGACTTCAAGTTGCAGAGAATCTTCCAGCTTGCGACCCCTGCCCTATGCTGCGGAGGAAGGCGAAAAACCTCCAGGGCCTCTGCCAATCTACCCTGGAGGAAAATTCCTTCCCGACCCCAAATATGGCGATCAGTAGAACCCCGAGACATGTTGAGGGAACATCTTGCCCCCTTTCCCTGGCCATCTTGCTCCTGTTCTGTGGTTACTTTGTTTCCCAGAGTTGTTGATCAGGCACCTTTCACAGTTATTGAATTCACACAATTAAAAATATCACCAATATTCTCCACCAATTTTTTTAACTTTTCAAATTCACTAGAAGAAAAATCAACATAAGTCTCTGGAATTGACTAATAGCAAGCGACAGGTTAAATGGTAAGCATTAAAGTAGCCTTGAAAATTGTCATGAAAATTTACCAGCCCACACTCAAAAGCAACTTGCCTGCCTTTCATCATGATGATCCTAAATAAAAGTTTGTAATGTTTTGCTTGCTGATCAAAGAAACTCACCCTGGGCATGCAGAATTTTGCCAAGGCTACACAAAAAGGACCAGACCTGAAGTATAACTTTGAGACAAAGCCCTGGTCCTGCAAAGACCTATTTACTTGCTTAACTTCATGCATGTGAGTAGTTCCGTTGTCTTAAATAGGACTGTTCCTGTGTATAGAAGTCCCTGCAGAGTCAGGGCTCTAAGCCTCCAGCAGATCAGATTTACTTGCAGAACCTGGGTGCCCCAAGTTTGCTGAAAAAATTAAAGTGGTAACTCTGAACAGTACGCAGGGTAAATTTTGGTCTGAGAGCTGGGCTTTGGTCATGCAATTCTGATTTGAATCCACAAGAGACCCTAAACTTTCACGATAGTTGTAAGGTAAAATTTTAATATTGACCCAAAGTATTACAAGATAGTAGAATTTAAAAAAAACGTTGAAAGTCTCCTTTGTTCTCATACAATCAAATGGGAGTTGTATTTTCCAGTTTCAACGCTACAGTGTCAGCTTGGACTTCATAGGGGATGATAGGAGGGAAGTGTCTATTGTAGTTTCTACTGAGTCATCATCTCTCATGATTGGGTGAGAGCAGCAGGTATTTCTAAGGAAAATGGCAATTTCCTTAAATTCTGAATTCCCTGGATTCGGTTTTTTGCTCTCATCCTTTGACAGCATTTTGGCTTTAGATATGGATTTTTATAGCATTGATTAGTGTATTGATGGCTAGGACGGACAGGGCTGCAAAGGGAAGGACATATTTGCATTTCTTCCTAACTTTCTGCTAGTTTGGGAAGATGGCAAATGCAGGGCTGCAAATTGGAGCCAGGACCCACCAGCATGTCTCTAGCACATGTTGCAGGGTGAAGAGTTCATGGTTAAGCCATCGAGACTCTGGCACATAACACCGCAGCACAGAACTTTCATGGTGGTTTAGAGCCACAATTTAAAAATGGTCTGCTAAGTGCACTAAACAGCTCAAAACAAATAATACGTTATTGGAAATAAAAGCACAGCGAACATTTGGCCCTGAGGCCCTTTCCTTTCTGAATTACCAAGTGCAAGTAACTTACCATATGCTGCCTGCCTCACTGTTGGTAAGGTAGTGTACTCGCCTTCTGTAAAAGTTTAAATAAAATGCTTTGCTAAAAGAAAAAGGTGGCTTCCCTGCTCTTTAGACAGCACAGGGCCACAGTTTAAATAGATTCATATTTTGTGCAAAACGCTTTAAAGAGAATGAATGAAAAAGCCTTTTGTCCAAGATGGCTGATGGTTGTTTTTATTTCTTGTTAGACAAGCTAATGTAAATCGCATTGACAAGGCTACTCCAAACACACTGATTTGTTGACTTTAAGCCTTTCAAAGATGGAGGGTTGTGTCAACACCTACAGTGAGCTGTCAGGTTAACAAAGCAAGGATGTTTTTTTGCTAGGGGGCGGGGAGGGGAGTTGGGGAAAGGGGTGTGTTTTGTTTTTATTTTAAATTTCCTTTAATCCTCTGTTAGTCTTGTATCTTGATAACCTCCTTTGGAAGGTAATCGGCTGAGGCCAAGAGGTGACAGTGACCTGGGAAAGGGAAGTAATCTTTCAGCAATCCTACAACTGTAACCTCTCCAGTCTCAAGCAATTCAGCATGAACTCTTTGCACAGGGAGTCTTTTCCTGTGCGTTTATTTTTGCCAGATGGTGAACACAGATTTCAGCTGTAACTGTGTAAACTCTATGGATTCTTTGCGTAGGATGCTTTGTCCAGAGCCCCATTAGCTGTATCGACATCTCTTTGCAGTTGCAAATAAACGCAGTCATCCTGGCAGTTCACATGTTTTGTAGAGAGAACTTTAAAAGAGAGGTCGATTTTTCTTGTAAAGAAAATGGTTTCCTATGTTGCTTTAGTAGATGAAACATTTCCTCCATCACATATTGAAAGAAGGAAAACAGTGCATGGAAGTAAATACAGGACAAATCTGAGTTTTATTGTAAGCATAGCCATGACTGCTTTGGTCAAGGAAGATGC